TGATACCTGACATGAGTAAAAAAGGAGTCATAGGATTAGTAAAGATAGTACATGAAAAAAAGTTTGATGAGTAACACTCAAGCAACTCCCACATCAGCCCCTCCTATGCAATTTTATTAAGCATCTTTGATGTAAGACAAAATAAAGTTGTGCAGAAGAAATGCTTCCTGTTTTAAAACGTTTGACAAGCTATTTCCATTCTGTTTTCCATTTAAATATATATAACTAGGAAAATAGAGAAGACAGCATGATGCAGAATTAAATCCAGGCTTTAAATGTACCCAATATGCTCTTTAAATAACAAGAAAACATTAGTCTCATAACACCTAGCACCCTCACCTCTGCTAGATTTCTAGGAAGATTCAACAGAGAGACTTTATTAGAAAAAATAAAATTAAACTGCTTTACCATGTCCTACTGAAAGTCCATTACAATCATAGTATCTCTCACAGCAAATAGAAATTGATGTTTAGGTGGGAAGTATAAGAAGCAAAGCATTTGTGGCAGGGTCTTTCCCCTGTATACTCTCCAACTCTGCCAATCAGCTTTTAGGGACTTCCAAAGTCAAGCGTTCAGACCTGTGTCTCTAGCAACCACTGATGAGCACACTCTGTGTTATATTTTTTCTTATCATTTTTTGTGACATATTTATTCTTCTTTCCTTCATAATATGACAGTAGTGAGTACACCATTTGATCGTTTACTGTACAAATAAAAATGCCTGCTTTTATTTGTTTTATCGTGATTGTATCAGCATTTCCCTTGATACCTTCTAAAATCTCAGCTTGCAAGAAACTGTTTAGTCAAACATGACTATTTTTTCTCTATATGTCATTTGTTATGTTGCAAATCTCTGTCATAGTCCTTTCCCTCACATATCTGACCTACTACCCACTGTCTTCCATTACTGGCACTAGACTTAGTTTCGTTATATGAAAACCAGTCATTTTTATTTCCATTCTTGATAGCTTTCTCTGCCTCTTGCAGGTGTTTTCTGAGATGACTGGACGAGTGTGCAGAATTTTCACAGTGTAAATCCATGGATCTACACAGTGGCATCATTGTGGTTTTGATTTTGCATTCTTTCTTCCTTTTCTGATAATTTTTAAGGTTCACTTGCTTTTGAAATACCCCTGAGTAATGACTTGAGGTTTTGTGAGAAACAAAAGTCACCTTTTCTTTGAGGGGTTTCTGCATTGAAACCTGTTCATGCTTTTATCTGTAACTCAGGATCAAGTGTGTACAGTTACAGAAAACAGACATTTATATTTTGGTAATACTGAAGATCAATTGGTTAAACTCTTGTTAAACATACACAAAAAAGCTGCATTAATTTCCTGATTACAAGATATATTTTGACTCCTATGGCTGAATTCTGGATCCTCGCTTCCAAATAAATTGACCAAACAAACTGATACATGGCTTTTTACCTGAAGAGACAGTTTTGTATCCAAGTGTTAAATATGCCCATGAAATAGTAAATAGATCATTTCAATTTAAATTCAAGATTGATTATCTGTATATAAAATTATTTTATTAAAACAAAAAATATTTAATATAATGTTTAAATTCCTGAAAAGATCTTTTAATATAAAGATTAATATACTTTATACTTTATAGATACTTTATATATACTTTTATAGCAAAGAAAGAAATTATCTAGCATTTGTTTGAAATTGCACAATGAAATACCTGATTATTTCCCCTTTTGAAAAAAACATATGAAAATCAAGATCTGCTGTGACAAGAGGTACACTCAGATGATGAAAAGTGCACCTTTTGCTAAGCAAATAGTGGTTGTCATATAAGAATAATAATGAGAATTACTAAGTGCAAACAAGAAAAGCTTGCCTAAGTACAGAAGGTGCATTTTATTATTCTGTGATGTAAAACTGATATAAATTAAAATTTAGATATACATTTAAATGAAAACAATTTCAAAATTGGAGATTTAATCTTAAATTTCAGAGTAGGCTTGCATTTTCTTATGAGAAAAAGAGAAGTGCAAAAGTGTGAGGCTGTAGGCTCCAGTGTCTTATTCAATCCAACCCTCCTGTGGGAATGAGTAATGTGTAAAGCTTCAGACCACTGATAATAATTATTCTCTAAATTAAAGATGAGCTTTAACCCATCCTCTTTGATGATTAAGAAAGCCAAATTTTCAAAGCTAATTAGTTTCTCAGTAAGGGTCATTGTTGTTTATTGTTCAGGCACTCTTAAGGTAATTAGAATGCCTGACCTAAATTAAGCACATTTTGCACATTTTATTAACAATGCACAGTAACAGGAACCCCTGGCCAAAATACATGCTGTGCCTCTATCTTCTGAGATGGCCTACCAAGGAAGCAAATTTCACATCCAAGGATGCTTCCAGCATAAATATCTGGCGGCACGTTCTTAGAGGCTTGAATAGCAATGGTTGCACCATCCTGCTGCATGGGGAAAAGTGGCTTCTACGTTTTCCAAATCCTTTGTTGGTATTACATTGCTTCACGTGTTGTGAGGAACTGAGCACAGACGGACAGGAAAGTACTCTGAACTACCTAAGGAAGCAGTAAGGACTGGTTTGCCCTTCTACCTCAATAGTTTGCTGTTGCAGCAGTAGAAAATAGGTGATTTTTACAGAAAAAGAGTAGAAATCATAAATTATTGAATGATTCTTCCTATCAATAAAGACATATAAGATATACAGGTTCCAACCATAAGCATTTTAGAACTTTCTGAACCAAAGTTAGAACTGCTTTTAATATCCACAGTCTAATTATTCTGATATTTAGATTATGAGAAACAGTAAGCAGTCCTTCCCAGCTCATCTTCTCTGTATTGTTACCAATTGTGTAACCATACCCTTTCTTTTTCCCAAGCTCAAGAATCCTGCTCAACTTAGTCCTCATAACTACAGTTTTCTCTTGTTGCTTTTTTTTGTACATGTCCTTATAGAGAATATAAAAAATTAAGCATGAAGAAGTTTATGTTGTTTCTTTCAAAATAATTACTGCTGGTTTATTTCCCTTTGATTGACATTGGTCAATGAGCTCAAGATATTTGCAGAGAACTATCTCATGTATTCTCACTGAGGTAGCAGCTAGGATAGAGCCTGAAATTCTTTAATTAACTTTAGTTAATCTTTCCATTGTTACATTAATTTAAAATTTCAGCTATCAATTCTGCACCTGTTCACTCAATATGGTAAAGTTCTTGTGTAACTTTGGGTAGTTAGCCTTAGATATGGCTGTCATGAACATGAATTCTTCATTGTTACTGTGTTACTATTAATCTCCTTCCTCACATCTTTATGAATAGATGGTCAGGTTCCAGCTGTCAACCTCTCCTACAACACAACTTCCATAATTCTTCTTTTCCCCATTTAAAACCGCCTATGATCACAGCAAAACCTCTCCTTCTATTGCAATTTTAATTGAGGATTTTTTTTTTTTGGTGATAGGCTTCATCAAACGTTTGGAATTTTCCTGCACTGACTGAATAGGTGAAACTTACCAATATGCTTATTGAGTCCAGCATTACACTACGGTTGATTTTTAAGATATAACTTCCCTCTACAAAAGCCACGCTAACTCTTCTCCAATATTTCATATGTATTCATGTGGTCACCGAGCCTACCATTTAATAATCCCATATACCAAGTGGGCTCTAAGATAATCAAATTACAGGTAAGGTTTTTTCTTGTTAGATTTTTTTTTCCCCCAAGACTATCATGCATATCAATGCTATAAAAGCTTTACTTAAAAATGTTGGAGGATTCATTCTGCAATTATGTGACTCTGTTGTGGAAATTTGTAGGGTCTCTGTGCCCAAAGCAGCATGACAAAAGAAATGCTTTTCCCCCTTACATTCTTATTGCTTGGCTCTAGACCTAAGAATGCACCCATGGGAACTTCAAATACAAGCATATCCATGCACGCCGATGGTCAAAAGCACGGGAACGGAAGAAAGTTAATTTAGACCTCTAGCCATGAGAGGTTCCTCACAATCAAACGAAAGCCTTGAAATCTGTCTGTAAGCTCACGGATACACAGCATATAGGGCAGGGATTTACTGCAGTTACACAACATAACTCTTCCGATGGGCAGGCCAGCCCATTTTCAAATACCTCTCTGCTGTACAAATGCTTCCTGGTGATGAAGTGAATGACTCTAAAAAGTGCTGCGATGAAAAGGTATTTACTCACTCAGGTGGAATTTCCAAATGAATTTTTGAACAGCAGAGCAACTTTGATGCAACTGACACTAAGGAAGGCTCAAGACTTTCTGGGAGAACATCTTGGTAGCACAGGAGTACACAAGAGACAAACCATGTTGTGTCAGAGGCAATGGCCTATCCAGCCCAGTGTGCATTCTCCAGCTGTGTCTGTAAGCCAACAACCAGGAAAAGTAAGAAAGAATAAGGCTGCCAGCTGACACTTCCAACAGCCTTGGGCTGAGGGTACCATGATCCCATCTCGTTACTATTCCTGTCTGTATTTGCCCTGTCTCCCCGTGAACTCCTGCAGGCTTCTTGCAACCACAGCAGCAGCATTACATTCAGTGTAGGGGTCCAATGTGTTACTGCAAATACTGATCAGCATGTAGGAGGAGGAAAACACGAGTGGTACGAAGCCAGGCCAGACTTTTAAGATTGTTAATTAGGGCTTTGAAAGAGACAGTCTGGGTCAACCCACTCTAGGCATCTATTCTGACAGATGTGGGTTTGTCCCACACTGACACTAAATAAAGAATTAAAAAGCTTAAAAATGAAGTTTTTACCACAAGGTTAGTATTATGGCTTATTAGGTTTGGATGGAAATTATTGCGGGTCCAGACAATTCATTCCTTTTCTATGTCCACAATTGCTTGAATGGAGCATAACGAATTAAAATAGAAATTAGGCCCTGAGCTTCCCACCAGGCTGCAAACCCCACTATGGCAAAGTGAAGGGTCTGGTGCAGCTGCATGGGACTGTAGGGTCTTACCGTGCGCTTATATGAACACCTGAGGTGGGACATGCCAGGTGAAGGTAACTGACAGCCGGGGATGTGGGGTTGCTTCTTAAGACAAATTGGGCTTTACCAGTTATAACAAAAAAATAAAACATTACTGCCCTTTTTCCTCTGGTCCCACTGAGTCTGTGTAATGGAATTCGGTGCAACGTTATTATGTTTATGGTGCAACCATCAGCAGAGCCAGCCTACGACACCAACGTGCCATGGGGTTCTGCAGCACATAGCTGTGAATGTTATCGCAGGTCATCGTAGGTTACCACAGGTTATCACAGTGGGCCCAGAATGCACTCATGTGTAACCAGTCAATTGGACACACACCTCTATGGATTGCCCACATGACTAGAATGGGGGCATGGCCGTGTTTTTAGACACTCTAGCATTCTTATGCCCACACAAATGTGCACGTCCCACTACAACCGCCCCATGGTTTCACCTCTCCCTTTCTTGCCACCTACAATCACTACTGGTGACGTCCAGCAGTGAATGTCTCACTTTCAGATGCAACAAGTCACTGATCACCCTCATTTACGTGAAATTGTAAGAAAAAGACAGGACTTTTGGGAAATTTTGCTTCTTGCTTGTGCATTTCAATGTAAACATAAGTAAAGAAATATTGCAATGTAGCTACCAATCCACTTGATCTTCTTTTTGAAGTGCTTTGTGACTGGCTGATAAAAAAGCTACAATTCGGTAATAGTTG